AATCAATACTCAGAACATTTGCCGTACTCGCTTAGTCAATCCCGATGTAGAACCGTAGAGAAATGGAGTCTTCGACAATGTTTAATAGAACTTTCCTGAAATCAATACTCAAAATAGAATATTAAATAGAAATAGCCCTCGAGCGAGCGCTCAAGGGTAACATGATACAATATGTATGGAAAAATTGAAAATAAATTGAATCTGCATGAGACAATAAAAGAGTATGCTCGCTAGAGTTGCCCTCAGCGAATGCAGTTTGGTACTCTTCCTTGCCCCCAATTGTTTTTATGGAAAAGCCATTTTCCACAAAGACAGCTCGAATCTTATAACAAACCATGCTGAAGCTGACAAATCCTAGCCCCCAGCCGTGAAGTTGGAAAAATCAATTTCCGATTACACGGCTTGGTTAATACGCATCAATTGAGAACTCTTACATGACCAGGTTTGACATGGCCGTTCGGCTCTCATATTCCAATAAGACATTATCTGCTCTGGGTGTCCCCAGCTGAAATTCCCTTAGGTTTCTCGGAGGCTTGTCAGAATAGCGTAAAGGGACAATAGGAACGACTTCAAGACGAGGTGATATAAGAAAAGAGGATCACCGGACAAATATTGCACATATAAACACTTACAGAAGTTGATGTAGATGATGAGACGACCACCACACTGGGCAAATGCCAGGTGTATAGTTGTACTCAACAAATCGCAAAAGTAGTGGGAGAATCGCTACACCGCTGGTCGAAGACAAGTTATAGTCATAACTCGACCACTTAAAGTGGAAGTATGAGAGATCGCTACGACCTACTGGTTCGAGAACCAGGAGTAGGAGTCTCTCAACCGTTTGAAATTGAGGTGCGAGGACCGCTAAGCTGCTAGTCGAGGACCAGTCGTAGTCGTAACTCGACCTTTAGAAGACGTGGTACGAGGATCGCTACGCTGCTGGTGGAAGACCAATTAGTCGTAACTCGACCATTAGAAGTCGTAGTACGAGGATTGCTACGCTGCTGGTGGAAGACCAATTAGTCGTAACTCGACCATTAAAAGTCGTGGTACGAGGATCACTACGCTGCTGGTGGAAGACCAGTCGTAGTCGTAACTCGACCATTAGAAGTCGTAGTACGAGGATCGCTACATTGCTGGTAGAGAACCAGCCGTAGTAGTACCTCGACCACTTGAAGGAAATCTAGAATAATAGATGGACGACATTCTCGTGACCTGTGAGAACTGCCTCCTGATGACGACGAATGCAATGAGGAATTATTGTAGTCGGGGGTTCCGCTTCTAGACCTACTACCTCATCCTCGGGCCCTCTAGAAGTCTGGGGATCTCGAGTTTTGTCGTCATCACGTGATGTCGTGATGTCGTTAACCTTGTCCATTGTCGTCCTGATGTCATTAGTCCTAGACGTTGTCGTCCTGGTGACAACGACGATCTAGTCGGTCTTGGTTGTCACTATCATGACAATGTTGATTGTCGTTAGATGTCGAGAAATTGCTGTAACCGACTGGTCGAGGACCAGGAGTAGGCGTATCTCGATCACCTGAAGATGAATTTTAGGTGGTGAGAGATCTCTATGATCTACTGGTCGAGGACTCAGTGTAGGTGTACCTCGATCACCTATAGGCAACTGATAGGCATACGGAAACAAACCGTATTCGCGAAAGCATCTCTTGTTATCCGCGACTCCCATTATCAATATTCGTCGTACTCACTTGGTCGATCCCGGTGTAAGACCGTAGAGATATGGAGTTTTCGACAACGATAGATGGAGTTCAACGGTCCACAAGTGAATTTAGATTGATAGGCGGCGAGATGTCGCTACAACTGTCTGGTCGATTAACCAGGAGTAGGCATCTCTTAATCACCTATAGGGGCGCTAGAGTTGGTTATTACATGTGCATCTCATGTGGCCAACATGACTCACATACCCAACCTATAGCATATCCGGATGTTTGTTCGCAATCATGTCAGGTGATCAAGCCGACAACGTTCATGAGGAATTAGCTGTTAACAACCTTCTCTCAGATAGTCCAGCCGTAGCCAGCGCTATACATGAGATAAGTCGTCGGTTTTTGTTGGTAGGTTGGGTGCGACAACTCAGCATTTTTCGAGAATGTTCTCGATAATGCGGTGTACTCGACCACATCCTACTCGAGTGCTCAATTGTTCCTGAAAAATATTTTCTAGAAGACAAGTTATATGCAGAGAATATCGAGCATGTACTCAAAAGACTGCATGAATCTTCTAGTATTATCAGGATATAATGAGCAGATTAAATATTAGGCATTATGTAAACCGTAAACAAGCATGATCTATACAGAAGAAAACAGAGCGAGCCCCCAGCATTAAACCGTAGTCGGCCTAACATCGGAAACACTCGCACAATAGATATTATATAAAAAACATACTCTTGGTAAACATAATAAACCACGGATCTGACAATATTGTATAGATCTAAAATATAGGTATGGTAAATTGCATATAAAATATTGCGTACTTGTGTAGATATATGCCGGATATATCTATGGAATTAGTAGATTGATTTCGATTAAGGCTGTGTTTGAGGAGAGGTGATTGAGAAGATTGGGAAGATACGCAAAACGAGGTGAGCCATTAGTGCATGATTAATTGGGTATTAACTATTTTAAACTTCAAAAATAGATTAATATGATTTTTTAAAACAACTTTCATATAGAAAATATTTGAAAAAACACACCATTTAGTAGTTTGGGAAGCGTGCGCGTGGAAAACGAAACAAACAAACTCGCTTTGTTCTCCAAACGAACGCAGCCTAAGAAATCAATCTTACTAAATACCTTAATTTGTGTGCAGCAACCTGATGGACAGGTGTAGTGTTAGATTTATATAGGGCCACATGTACATATATACCTCCATGTGCTCTATACTTTTAGCTGTTTAATTGTTCTGTTTACTTGTGACGTGCATCCCTGGAACGTGGTCAGGTTGCCGACTAGCAATTGAATTCTACTAGTGCAAACACACGAACTCCTCGATTCCTATTAGAATATAGGCCAAGAAACATATCGGTATAGCGCCTCCTCGCGGATTCTCCCGAAGCGCGAGTGCGTCGTGGATGGCGCTCCTTAGAGCAAATATAACAGTGAGCTATAATACTACTCTAAGCTTATATGAAGGAGAGAGGTAATCAAAACTCAATAGTGTTGGCTCTCATGCAAGAGCTAACTTAACACAAGCTTCAAGACAAATACATTAAATGTACAAGTGAAGTGAGAGACAGAGGAAGGAGAAGAAAATTATACCCAACCTTATAGTTAATCTATTATATATGTTGGCTTTAAAATAGGCTAATAGTAGGAAGTGAGCTCTTCTATTATCCTTGCTCTCAGGAGAACATCTGTGCTCTTGAAATCCGCGGTGGTGACGTCTCGAAGCTTGGTCGATCTCGCCGAATCGAATAGTTGATAGTGATGATTCCGATCTCGTCGGGGGACATACTCCGGTCAAGTTAGATCTCTCTACAGCCGAAGTCGTCGAGCAGTTTATTGTTGGAGAATCCATCTCTTGAACCAATCTCGTCAAAAGCTTGAAGCACCAAAATCCCCCTACCCGGCGCGCCACAGTTGACGTTTGAGATCGCGACTACGGTATTTGTATGGTATGGGGATCATTAGTACCAGGGTATATGCGAGATTGAGATAAAAGAGATGGAGACAAAGATTTTTATACAGGTTCGAGCCCCTTATCTGACAAGTAATAGCCCTACATCCTGTTCATATGGGATTGATATAGAGATCCACAGAGTACGACAATTGGGATAACCTATCTAGCCGTCGTCAACTTGGCGGCATGAACACCAACTCTTAGTCGACTACGGGGTAGTCTTCCTCCTCGAATATGAACCCGTTGAGATCAGAGATGGCGCTAGATCCCTCTTACCGGTCTCCATAGGTACCGGATTGGGTTTGTCTAGACTAATATCTGATATTGACGTTTGGCGGCGTATTGGCTTGTGTATTGTGGCTTTATGGTTTGTCCCTTCTTCTTTTAGGGGGTCTTGTATTTATACCCATAGATAACCCCTTATCTAAGTACAATATTTGAATTTTTTTTCTTACAAGTACGTTCACTCTTACATAAAATTTGTGATTAACAACAATTGAACTATATGTATTTTGTCCTACAATAACCGATAATAACACAATGTTGTGTATGAACTTAGGCAAAGATGGAAACATATTGAAAGTTTTATCGCATAACCAGGGGCGGACCTAGGATTTTAAGGTTAGGTATTCAAAATAAAGAGGGGAAAAGAATTTTTACACTAAAAAATCCTAATAATTGGCTTATATACTATCACATACTATTAGTTGTATAATATATAACATATATAACACAAAATTGAGCATAACTTTATGTATATAGAATTTTTGGTTGGGTAAAATAGAGTGAATCAATTGTGCTAATGGGCCAACAAAGAAGGGGATGACACGGTTAGATGGTTTCTTTGCTTGATTGGGCCGTTTGATGTCTTTTCTTTAATTTTTTAAATACACATATAAAATACATAGTATATATATCTATTTTTTTTTTGCCAAAATTCTTGGGTATTCATTTGAATACCCTTGAATTGTTGTAGGCCCGTCCCTGCACATAACGGCCTCATCTTTTCGCTTATGGTTATACTCATCAGCCAAAATTTAAATTTTTAACCTTAAATTTGAAGTTGATTTTGAGGTTTTTTCATCGAAGTTCATTTTTCAATATTTGCTTATAAATTGGTAAGAACACGTATATAAAAGTTTTATTCACAAATTACCGTTTCGCTTATGCTTAAAATCAGCCGATTAATGGCTTCCTTAAGTCCAATTTTATGGGAGCACGTGATTATGTTATTCACTTGTTTGCTACTAGTAGCATAAGAAGTCAAATTTAAAACGACACGAAATCGTGAGAAACTCCACCGCACCAGCAAGGCAGCAACAGACAACCCCCTTCCCCGTCGCCAATCGCCATCACGACCGGTCGAGCCGATTACCCTGGCCCCACCCACTTCCCCGCGGCCACACGTGGGCCCCCACGCGCCCCTCCCCGCACCGGATCCCATCCACCTCGCGGCCCGCCGCGCCGGCACCACCACCACCACCCCTCGCCGCCGACGCGTCGCCGTCGCCTCTCCTCCGATCGATCCCCCCCCCTCGCATGCGCCGCCCCAATGCCCGCGCCCATCACCCGCGTGGCGAATCGCAGGAGGCGGCGGCGACAACCCTAGCTCCTCCTCCTCGTCCGACCATTTCCTCCGCGATGGGCTCCCGCCGCGCCCGCGGCCGCCGCCTCCTCGCCGCCCTCCTCGCCGCCGCGTTCGCCGTCGCGCTCCTCCTGCTGGTGCCCCGCTCGCCGCGTCGTCGTCCCCACGAGTACGGCGTCGTCATCGACGCCGGTAGCACGGGGAGCCGCGTCCACGTCATCGCCTACCGCTCCTCCTCCTCCTCCCCCGCCTCCGCGCTCCCGCGGATCGACTGGGCGCGCACGGCGTCGATGAAGGCGGCCCCGGGGCTGTCGTCCTTCGCCTCCGACCCGGGCGGCGCGGGCCGGTCGCTGGCGCCGCTCCTGGAGTTCGCGCGCCGCCGCGTGCCGCCGGAGAGCTGGGCGGAGACCGACGTGCGCCTCATGGCCACCGCGGGGCTCCGGCTGCTCGACGCCGCGGTGGCCGAGGCTGTGTTGGATTCGTGCAGGGTGTTGCTGCGGGGATCGGGGTTCCAGTTCCAGGACGATTGGGCCACCGTGATCTCAGGCATGCTACATAATGAAAGCGTAGAATTCTTATCTTTTGTATATAGTGGAAAAGTGCGGAGCCACAGTTCTTTCATGCTACTGATCAATACGATATCGAATGGAGTTCATTTCAATTGCCTGTTTAGGGATGGGATTGTGTTTGATCTGGGCTGATTTGTGCGCCTGCGTGCATGATAGTTTGGAATAATTGGGTACTTTTGTTCAGGTGATCATAAAATTGCTTATTACTTTCGTGCAGGAGCTGAGGAAGGGATGTATGCATGGATTGCAGCAAATTATGCGCTGGGTACCCTAGGCGATGACTCACAAGATACTACGGGGATAATTGAGCTTGGTGGAGCTTCCGTTCAGGTTTCATGTATCGTTTTCACACGAATGAATTGAACTTCATGCAATGAAAGTTTGTCAGGATGTCTTATTATTGTACCCTTTTTGTTGAATAGGTAACTTTTGTTACGGACAAACCTTTGCCTCCAGAGTTCTCTCATACTCTGAAGTTCGGTGATGCCACATATAATCTGTACAGTCACAGCTTTCTACAACTTGGTCAGGTGATTTGTGCAAATATTTATTATTGTGTATTTAACTGTTACCTGTGATGAGCTATGATCATTATCTTAGTTTCATGTGGCATCAATAAACTTTTGGGTAAAGGTATGTTACAATATCTTGCTTGTTTCCTGTGCAGAATGTTGCGTACGAATCACTCCATGACATGCTGAGCACACCTGGGCATAAATCAAGTAAGTTGATTTGTTAATATATGTGTAGTTGCTAATGTTACTGATTGAGACTTCACTCCATTCCAAAGCTTAGATTTTAGTTGTTTGCTCATTTAATATGCCATTGTCTCTTTTCCTTTTATATGGTTCCTTTCTATGTCCATGGGATACACTTACCTACCCTGTAAAACAACTAGCAGTGCAATTCTTTGGTCTTTCTACTTAAGATTTGATTTGTTATGCAGTGGCAACACATTTAATTTCTCAAGCTAAGTACAGAGATCCTTGCACTCCAAGGGGATTTTCGCCCATGGAGGGAGCAGTTAAACTTCCTGCCAGTGTTCTTGAGTCGAAGGTTGAGTACAGACCTTATGCTCATGCTGTTGGTAACTTCTCCGAATGTAGATCTGCAGCACTAACACTATTGCAGAAAGGAAGAGGTATATATCTGCTCTTGCTGCATTGAGCTGTCCTTTAGTTAAGAACATATGTCACCCTTCAGAGGAAAATCTTTAATTTAAAAAGGTTATTTAACTGATGAGATATTTTGTGTTGAGGAGTAAACTGTAAAGTATGAAAAATACATGCTTTGTTGATAAATGATCAGAAGTTCTCTATACTTCTTATTATCCTTGAGAAGATGACAAAAAGCAAAAGCAAAGTTGTCTGTACTGTTGAATTTGTTTGGACCACAACAGCCATGTTCTGTTCTCTAAACTCATTCCTAAGGTTGCTATTTCTTGATTCATGATTTGCAATGTAAACAATTCAATGGTGTATACCTTTTCTGGCAGTTTCTTGTTCTTTGATTCCATAATATAATAAAAGGAGCTGAGAATTTCCTCCTGTTGCAGAGGAATGTAGGTACCATGAATGCCGTATGGGAGCAGCATTTGTACCAGACCTTGATGGGAAATTTTTAGCAACAGAGAATTTCTACCATACTTCCAAGGTTTATTTCCCCTTTCTCCCTCCTCCTGGTTGGCCATTTGGGTGTCTTTCAAAGTGTATTTGGTATGTGTAGGGAAGACGAGAATTCCAAAGGCAACCTTTTGGCTTTTCACCTTTTTTGGGATAAGTTCAATATCCCCATAGGTCAGAACCATATCTCACAAGACACAACACATGGAACTCACTATGGATGTTTTCGGTTGTTGCCAGTTGCCACCACTGGTGGCAACACGACAAGGACAAAAGAGGATAATGATGACTGATCAGCTAGTAGAAAAGAGCGAGAACATGATAGGCTGCCTAGTGGATCTCATGTTCATGACTTCACATCTGCTGACATATTAAGAATTCTGGGAAAATCTTGGAAAATTAAAACAAGAGGATTGCATTTATGCAATAAAATGACTTAGCAGAATGTAGAGTGCCCATGAATCAAAATGGTATGCTCCTGTGCCTCAAAATTTGGTTAGTTCCACAAAATTCGGTTAGTGCCTTGAGATGTGTCTTTATAACGTTTGCCCATTGAGGAAAATGATAGTGCAGCCATTGTAATATTTCTACTCACAGGCCTTCTGCGCCCTCTTTAATGTTAATTTGTTTTATAGTAGGTTGTGTTTTGTAGCATGTCATTTACTATAAGTCTATCGTTTTACTTAGATTCAGTTCCCTGGGTCTGCGAGGATGGTCGGCTTGAACATTTCAACTTTTTTGTGGAACTAATTTTGGATCCTTCATTACTTGGCAGTTCTTTAGGTTGCGTTCTAAGTCTTTTCTTTCTGACCTGATGCTGGCTGGGGAGAAATTTTGCCGAGGAGACTGGTCAAAGATTAAAAAGGAGTACCGTTCTTTCAATGAGGGGGAGCTGCTTCTTTTTTGCTTTTCCTCAGCATATATTGTTGCTTTGCTGCATGATACTCTAAAGGTCCCGCTGGATGATAAGAGGTGCGATCTTTTCTGCTGTTCTAATATTTCTATTTCACATTTTGAACTTCAGGATTTAAAATGTTCATTTTGTTTCAGGATTGATGTTGCGAATCAAATTGGCGGTGTGCCTGTTGACTGGGCATTGGGTGCTTTCATTGTGCAGAAGGCGTCAAACCAGACAGAGTACTCAGATTCATCAGTTCCATATCTAAACAGCTATTACTATTCTGGGTTGGTTCCACTCCTCTTCATTTCCGCTGTCGTTCTATTTACAGCATGCTCCATCCTGAGGGGGAGAAGATCTCGCCTGAAGACGGTATACGACATGGAGAAAGGCCGGTACATCATAACCAGGGTGAGACGATGAGCCTTGCGCGTCGTCGCTGGGATTTGGTGGAGCTCCTGCGGTGGGGTGCCAGTGATCGTGTTTGTAAATTCTCGTAGTATATACACGATATCTGCTAGGCAGCCATATATATGGTTCTGACGTTGCCTTGCTGAATGAATCTTGACTGTAAAAGCAGCCCTTTGTAGTTAATACAACGATGTGGGTTGCTTTTGCTGCAACGGTCGTGTTTCCAGAATGCTCAATGATGTACTGGTCTCAAAATATTGCTGATGACCTGATGTATAGCAGCAATTTTGTCTCCGTAAAATGTACCCAATGATTTCTCGAGCTGACTAGCTAAAATTTGTAAATGTACATCCAGAGAACAAATTATCAATATCAGGTACACAACCACCAAAAGAGAGAGTTTTGAAATTTTGTTCATTTACATTCAGCAAACAGTATCCGGTTTGTATATTAGCACTTCACCTGCTTCATTGTTTGTATTGACAAATTTCAAGTTTTATGTTATCCATATGATCCATATGCTACTGAACTCGTTATCTTGTGTCTAGTTGTTACGAGAGTCCATAGCTTATCCTTATTTCTAACAATAGAAACGGTAGGAGATTGTAATCATTTTCTTATTTAATGCAATTCCGATTGTGGTATTTTTAAGAAACCATAAAATGCAAATGTACCATAACCATGCATTTACTGTTTGATTCTCTTTAAATACAGTTTACTTACTTCTCAACGGTGGTAATAGTATTATTAACGAAAAAGAAATTATATCTCAGAAAGAAAAAGAAAAAAGAAAAACAAAAATGATACTGCTGCGAGCCTCACCGTTCTTCTCGCTTGCAACATTCTGAGGCCCCACTTGCAGACGGACAACCCCACGTGGCAGCCTCTGTGTCTATGGGCCCCACCTCCTCCCCCTTAATATGAGCGACGCCTACACGAGTGCGAGGCGACGTCGACGAGGACGAGAGAACGAGGAGGCACGCACGAGAGCTCCTCCTCCCACCCAAGGTAAGAACATGCAATTTTTCTCCCCCAAATTTCTCCCCCCACCCAGGAATCCGCTCTTCTCATCATCAGGATTTCGTTCCCTCCACTGGGGATCGATTCCATTCGATTCGATTCGAGAAGGGGAGGAGTATTCCAGGGGCGATCTGTGTTCTGGCCCAAACGTGGCGTCACGCGCGAGAGAATTTGCGGAAGGATTTCGATCGATGTAGTCGAGCGCGGAGGGGATGTTTGTGTGTGCATGTCGTGGGATTTAATTGCTCCTTTGTCAAATATGAATGTGGGATCGATGGGAGAGAGATTTTGGGAGGAATTCGCCGCAACATGCAACAACATGCAAGATAAAAGGTAATAGTGCATGCATGCATAGAAGAAAGAAAATAAAGGTGACATCATATGGTTAGATGAAGCATGATCCTCCCAGGTACTACATTAGTTTCAAACATAACTTCAAACTATTTTTTTTCTTTTAAACCATTTATTTGATTTACAATCTGATTATGCCATTATATTTGTCACAATTAAATCTTTACAACAAGATCTCATATAATTATATTCCAATGAAAAAAAATATGTCTCAATAATTAAAAAAATATGTCACATATGTGAAAAGGGAATGTTTCACCTAAAACCAACTTTGTTGCACATTTTTAGTTTTCTTGTTGCAATGGATTTTTTCTTATTTAAATGTTTCAATAAGTATTTCCTGATGTTGCACTGCATCATTTGCAGATATTGAACATAGTATTTTGTGAAGTCTCAATAATTCATGCATAATATATATAAAAGTATCTCAACAAATCATGTATTTTGTAAATATACCTATGTTTCATATGAATCTTATTTGATGTTTCATTTGTTGGTAATTAATGTTTCGTGTAGTGATTGTCTGTGTTGCAGCCAATATTTTGTTTCTGTCGCATCTCCTTGAAACATTTGATAGAATAAGTAGAAACATCTTTTTATGAGTAGTGGAACAACATATTTTTTTTAAAAAAATATAATAGTGTAAGATCTTGTTGTAAAGATTTAATTATATCGAATATAATAGTGTGATTAGATTTTAGATCTGATGCATAATTTATGAGAAAAAGTATTTAAAATTTGTAAACAAGTAGTTATGTACTGCTAACAATATAGGAGTATTTGAGTAGAAGGAGAGAGAATAGTGAATATTTGTTGCATGTGTCAGACGCTCAGAGTAGCAGATGTGCAATGTTTGCAGGTGGGGAGAGAGTGCAAGATGTAGCTTGCATGCAGTGGGCGGACAGGCACCCGATTTTTCCCAAATATCGGGCGCCTAATCTATATTCTCCTCCGATTTTCTACAGTGGTGTGATGTAGGAAAAAATGATGCTGGAAAAAGGGAGAAACGTTTGGTTCCCATTGATCCCTTGGATTAGAAACATTTGATCGCATTGTGGTTAAGCGCAAGATGGTTGAGTGCTTATTGTTACATTGTAACATTTGATCACAACACAAAGTGAAGTTTGAACGCAACATTGTTTGATTTTTATTAATCGTGTTTTGATTGGGGACAATTATTTGTGTTCATTTGTCCAAAAAGTAGGATTCGGGCATTTATTTTTTTTACTAAGGAATGGATGGCTTATAGGTTGATGTAGGAAATGTTTCTTACAAACTCACATTTTTTGTTTGGTGAATTTTTTGCCACTATGTTTTTGGATAATCAATCCTTGTCCAATACAATTGTTTTCTTGTTTGTTAGTTATAAATGTTAGGAAACATCCATGATAATGTATTGCAAACCGATTGTTTTTGTCTGTTTTTGTAATGAGAGTTTTACTCGAAACGCGTTTGCTAAAAACATTTTGTAATATTCTCTTAGATATGTTCTTTTGAATTGCTTTGGTGCTTAGATATTAACAATGTAAAGAAATACATGCTCATAAAGTTGCCAGTCATGAGAATTTGTTCGTTCTAATGTTAACAATGTAAAGAAATACATGCTCATAAAGTTTTTTTTTTTGCAGCACGGTGGAGCTCATGTTCTCGGTGCCTGTTCTCAATCCTAATAAAGTTGGCTGACGTTGCATCGCCGGCCTGGCAAAAAATCAGTGCTTGTTTTTGTCTTGAAGCTTCCACGGTTCCACTAATAACTCAAGTTCCTTCTTTCCTGAGAACAGGCATTGTTATTCTCCAGAAGCCATTTTGTTAGATAATATTCAAGTTAATCGTGTATTGATTGAATGTTCTGTGTTTTTAGCCCATTTCAGGAGGGATCTTAGCAGAGTACGTCAATTTTATTATTCAATACTGCTTGTGGATAGAATTACTCTGTTGGCAAGGTTCTTTGTTTTAAGTAACAAATGAAGGATCATCTAATGCTTAATGTTAGCAACCTTCCCGAGTCTGTTGAGGCGACCGAGGCAGCCATGAATCTGCCTTCCGGGGGAGTTTCTCTACCACCGTTGTCTACAACTCATACACTTTTGTCAGTTCGGGAAAGCATGGGTGCTGAGGAAGAGCCTCTTATTCAGACAGTAGAATGTCGTATTTGCCAAGAGGAGGATAACATCAGCAACCTTGAGAGTCCATGTGCTTGCACTGGAAGTCTAAAGGTATTCATTCATCCATCAACTTTCCTTTGCATCCTGTGTACTTTCAGTTGCAAACAACAGAAAATGAAAAGCAAAAAAAAATTATTCAATTGTCTTGGTTGTTTTATATGAGCATTAAGTACTAGTATACCTCTGTAGGACTAAAAATGCATTTTGTGTGGAAACTCACAAAGATCTGTCTAATATTTTGTTTTGCAGTATGCTCATCGGGCTTGCGTGCAGAGATGGTGCGATGAGAAAGGAGATTTGACATGTGAAATTTGCCATGAGGTGAATTAACACTTTTTGAAATGACATCTCTATATTTTCTTACTGGATTTTAGTCGGCACCTAGCCCGGCTTTACCCGACAAGGTCTTTTAAAATGAACTTTGAGCATTAATTTCTCTTATATCATATAATTAATCTAGAAAAATCATGATCAGATGGAAGTATGTTCAACTAGAAATCTAATGTCACCACTATTATGTGACTAAAACATCCTAGAGCCAAAAGTTACAAATTTTGAATTTTGAAGTATGTGTGCACCTTAAAAGTGATAAGATGGAGTATCAACTACGAAGCCATCTAAAAATTTCCAATATTTTTTTTCCATATTGGCTTCTTATTTTAAGTATGTTAAAGATGTGAAAAATGTTTGTGCAAAAGGTGGTGTTCTTGTGTTGATCAAGGATTTAATAAGTCGTTTGATTTTTTTTCTAATCAAACTTTATTAAGTTTCACCAAGTTTATAGAAAAAAATGCAACATCTAAAATATAAAATGAGTTTTATTAAATCTAACATTAAATATATTTTGATAATATGTTTATTTTATGTTGAAAACACTACTATATTTTTCTATAAACTTGGTCAAACTTAAAAGGTTTGACTAGAAAAAAAGTCAAACGACTCATAATATGAAACATAGGGAGTACTGTATATTGGTAGATGATTGTAGACATCTCAATGAAGAACATAAAACTAAGGGAGGCTTGAGAGATCAATTATCTTATATCTGTGAATAGTATCATGTTCTTGTATCAGGTTGTCTTGAAGTCGATCTCTTTTAACACTAGAACGAATGGCGATAAATTCATGAAAGCAATGGATGACATTTTAAGTGATTTTAAAGTAGAAGTAGACTGAACCTGGAGCAAAAATAAATGGATCAATGTTTATTTTCATATATTTCTTAGTTCACATCATAATATCATTCAAAAATCAAGTCATCTGAGCTCTGTGGCTGAAAGTTTACTTGTTTGCAGCCATACAAACACGGGTACACTGCACTTCCTAGAGCTCATCCTGATGAGACAACCATTGATATAAGGCAGGCATCCATACTTTACTATAGTCATTTTTTTATTTATTTTAACTATTTACCTGTCCCCATAACTATGTAAGAGGAATGATCATCTATTGTATGTTTTTTCTGATGCGTCTTTCATCCTCCTCTCTGGTGTATAGTGGTGGTTGGACCATTACCGGCACAGCATTTGATTTGCATGATCCAAGGATTATTGCAATGGCACAAAATCACATAATGGAAGCTGACTATGATGATTATTCAGTAACAAATGCGAGCTCTGCTGCCTTTTGCCGCTCTGCTGCGCTTATTGTAAGTTCCCTTTGTGCATTCACGAGACATCTATTAATAGCTCTCGCTTACTATACACTTGAACTGTATTTTGTATTTTGTGTTCAGTTAATGGCTCTGTTAGTGTTGAGGCATGTGTTGGTACTAACTGATGAAGATGAAGACGACGCTTCTTCAATGTTTTTGGCAAGTGAAATAATCTTCTTGGAAGTGTACATTGATACACTTGTTTCTGTCTTTCTGGCCCCCTCATACTGATAGAAAACCGATCGTTTGGCAGCTTTTTCTACTACGAGTCACCGGGTTTCTGCTACCATTCTACATCATGGCTTGGGCAATCAATATCTTACAGGGCCGAAGGCGGAGGCAGGTTAGGGTACCATAAACATTCCAATGGACAAGTAGATTATTAAATATTGTGTAAGAACTCCTAATCAGTTAATTGTTTGACTACAACCACGTTAATTGGGAAGTTGCTTCGATTAAAATTTTCTGGAGAGCTTGAATTCTTTAAACATGGAAAACCAACAATTAGGAAATTGTGTTTTGGTACTTTTTATATGGTTTCATGATTCAACACTACCCAATCTTTAAATTTGTGTAATTTTCTTCCCATCTAGGTAGCGGCTGCTCTAGCTGCAACTGAGGTGGCATTCATTCTACAGTCAGGACAAAGAAGGGGCATGAATTTCACCATCGCACCAGATTCCCCTGCCACACCTCAGCATGAGCCTATCCCTTGAATTAATGTTGTCAGCATCACTCAAGTTCATGTGGCATTGTTTAGCTGATGACTTGACGAAGAATTTGTTAATTGTGATTAATTAATTATTCAGCACAAGATGAGATGCAATGTCATCTCTTATCAGATAGAATGTATTAATTCATGTATGTTTTGGTGTGTGTGTGTGTAAGAGGTGTCTGTGATACTGAAGCCCCTTTTTTATGTATGTATGGTATGGGTTCTGTGTTCAGTGTCCTGCGTATAGGTAGAGAGCACGGAGAAACACTTTCAGTAGGTTCCTAATTTTTGTCTCCCAGAAATCCTTGATTTTATTTCAGTTTTGTATCTTTTTTTAGATAATGGATTAAACTGGCCTCTACACCCAAAAAAGGATGTACACAGCCACAACGAAACTTACAAGAGTACATAGACTCACACCCTTACACAAGGTTTAACACCATCACAAGCAACTAGACCCAAGCACTTAGGCTCTAGCAACAATAATTCTTAAAAAGTTAATACAAAGCTTCAACCATACCACACAAGAAAACAAGAGAGCATTAATCTCCCAATCTTTTCCTTAAGTTCCATCCCTTCATTGCGAAAAAGCCAGAAACTCTCTTCTCTAGAATCAAGCAACCTTCTCTCACTTTTTGGCCATCTTCCTCCTTAAGTAGCAAAGACCATTGTCTTGCCCAAAAAGTCCCCCTGAAAATCACCTGCAACAGAAAATTAGAATTGGAGCCATTAAAGACTACATCATTCCGGCATAACCAAACCACCCAACACAAAGCTGAAATCCTCACAAGGATTTGAGCTCTTAGCTTGGGTTGAACCCCCTTTAGCCAATTGCCGAACATACTAGCAACATTCCTAGGCAGGTGAATTCCAAAAGATATATAGACTACATTCCACATGAATCTTGCCAAAATACAATCAAAGAAAAGGTGTTGAATTGATTCGTTAGAATCACAAAAACAACACTTAACATTACCCTTCCACTTCCTTTTGGCTAAATTATCCTTTGTTAAAATTACTCCATTCTTTAAGTACCACAAGAAAATTTTAATTTTTAGTGGTATTCTGAGTTTCTAAATCATGTCCTTTTTAGGAACGACCTCCCTGTACATGATTGCTTTGTACATTGAGTTAACTGAGAAACACCCATTCTTTTGTGTCTCCCACAAAAAGGTATCATTCTGCTCGGTCAATTTTATTGATATAACCTTTGAGACCACTTCCAACCAAGCTTTTAAATTATGACCCACAATAGCCCTCCTAAAGGACACTTTTAGAGGTCTTTTACTCATAACCACTGCCACTGATTCATACTTGTTTATCACAAGGTTGTATAAGGTCGGGTAACGAGCAGCAAAGGGAGTATTCCCATTCCATTTATCCTCCCAGAATCTGACCTGAGTCCCATTGTGCACTTTTAATGATCCACAAGAAAGGAAGATGTTCTTAACCATCATGAGTTCTGACCAGAAATGAGAATCCCCTGGTTTTTTCTCTACATGAGTCAAAGTTTTCTTAGATAGGTATTTCCTTCTTAACAAGTTTTGCCAAACTCCCTCTTCATTCCAAAGTTTATATAACCATTTGCTTAGCATGCATTTGTTTTGTAGTTCTAGGTTCTGTATCCCAAGACCCCCACATTCCTTTGGCTTGCATAAAATGCTCCACTTAGCCAACCTATACTTCTTCTTATGTTCTTCACATTGCCAAAAGAAACGTGACCTATAATAGTCCAGCTTCTCGAGAATACCTTTAGGTACCTCAAAAAAAGAGAGCATGAACATAGCCAAGCTGCTAAGCACCGAGTTTATCAACACTAATCTACCACCTACCGATAGATGCTTTCCTTTCCAACTACTCAATTTTTTCTGAATTCTCTCTTCGATTGTAAGCCAATCTTTGTTTGACAATTTTTTGTGATGCATTGGGATCCCTAGATATCTAAAGGGATACCTACCGGAACCGCAGCCAAACAACGTGACATACTCTCTCTCCACTTCCTTAGCCCTACCAAAACAGAACAATTCACTCTTGTGGAAGTTGATCTTTAGACCCGCTAACCTCTCGAATGTACTTAGTACAAGTTTGAGGTTTTTGGCTTCTTCTAAATCATGTTCCATAAAGATGATCGTATCATCTGCATATTGCAAGATAGATAGCCCATTATCTACCAGATGCGGTATCACCCCATGAAAGCTCCCTCGTTCATTTGCCCTTTTAATCAAGATTGCTAACATGTCAGCCACCAAATTAAAGAGGATCGGCGATAACGGATCCCCTTGTCTTAAGCCTTTTTTTGTTTGAAAGAAGTTTCCAGCTTCATCGTTCACCTTAATTGCTACACTACCCCCTCTGACAATCTTATCTATCCACCGACACCAAAGTGGTGAGAATCCTTTCATTCTCAACGTCTGTTGGAGAAATCTCCAGTCTACTTTATCATAAGCTTTTTCAAAGTCGAGTTTAAAAATTACCCCATCATTCTTCTTCTTATGCATTTCATGAATTGTTTCATGTAAAATAACCACACCTTCCATAATGTTTCTTCCTGGTAAAAAGGCTGTCTGAGAAGGTCTAATGACTTTTTGAGCTACTAGAGCTATTCTATTAGCCATTACCTTCATGAAAATTTTGAAACTCACGTTCAACAGACATATAGGTCTGTACTACTGAATTTGTTTAGCATCATTTTGTTTGGGTAATAAAGTTATTGTACCAAAATTCAAACTATGCAGCGGCAACTCTTCTTTGTAAAAGTCATTAAACATGGCCATTAAGTCATCCTTAATGACCTCCCAAAACACTTGAAAGAACTCCGCATGAAATCCATCAGGACCGGGAGCCTTATTGTGTTCCATTTGGAAAATAGCCTGTTTTACTTCTTGTTATGAGAATTCCTTTGTTAGGATTTCATTTTCCTCACTCGAGACTTGAGGAATGTCCTCTTTTCTAGACTCCATCATGGAAAAATTACTTTCCTCTGGGGGTCCAAAAAGTTTTTTTTATAATACCTTGTAATGTACTTCCTTAGTTGCACATCACCTTTGATTATACCCTCTTCTTGTTCCAACTGAAAAATTCGGGTTTTCCTATGCTTTCCATTAGCTATCATATGATAATATCTTGTATTTCTATTGCCCTCCACAATTTTCTTTGTTTTTGCCCTTTGGTACCATTTTATTTCTTCTTCTCTTAGCAAAAGTGCTAATCTATCTTTAACAAAGTTCTTGAGATTTAATTATTGTTCAGACAAACATTGCACCTCAGCCTTCTTATCTAATTCATCTGCCTTTGCTAGCAAGCTAGCCTTTTCTTTCTTGTAGGCCCCACTTGTATCTTTTGCCCAACCTCTCAAAAATTGACGCAGCCTTCGTAACCTATTTTGCCACTTTTCCAACCTTGTAACCCCCCTAACCTCCTTTTTCCAAACATCCGCTACCATATCATAGAATCCATCTCTTAACAACCATCTAAGCTCAAACTTGAATAGTGGTTGTTTGAGAGAATTAACACCAGTATCCAACAATAATGGCATATGATCGGAAAGCTCCCTACTCAAAGCTCGAGCAGTAGACAATGGGTATTTCTGTTCCCATTTTGTACTCATCAAAATTCTATCTATCTTCTCAAATGTTGGTTTTGATGACGAATTAGCCCACGTAAACTTACGTCCTGTGAGCTCCAACTCTCTTAAGTCCAAACTATCTATGACGGCATTAAAAAGGAATGGCCAATTCTCACTATAATTATCATTATTCTTTTCAGTGGGATTCCTTATAATGTTGAAATCGCCACCGAGCAAAATTGGTAGCGCCTCCTTATTACAAGAATTGACCAACTCAACAAGGAAAGCTTCTTTATAATCCTCCTGTGCAGCCCCATATATTGCCACGAGGATCCATTGAAAGCCATCATCCTTATTCTTAACATGAAATTTAACATAAAAATCACCTTTATCAACACTAGAAATGTCAAGAACCTCCTCATTAATCCCTAGCAAGATACCCCCTGATCTCCCTTTTGGCCTTGTCCAATGCCAAAAAAAAATCTCTACCTCCACAAAAATTCTTAAGGCAAGAGTTCGAAAAATCATTTTTACCCGTCTCCAAAAGAGTAATAAAGTCTAGCTTTTGCTCTTTTGAGGTATCCGACAGAAATCTAAATTTAGCCAAGTCACCAAGGCCTATGCTATTCCAAAACATTTCTCTCATGATGACCCCTTTTTAAAAACAGCAATTTTAACCTTCTTTCTTTTGCTCCTACTCTCAATCTTTTTCCCAATGCCCTTAATGGGGAGATTATTAAAATCACAGCTTAGGTGACCATTCTCCCCATCCATAACCTCCTCCACTAAGCCACCACATAAGTGGCCAAGAACAAGGTTGTTTAGCTCCTCTTCTTCCTCCGAACCATACCCCTCGTTATTTAACTTATTGCAATTAAAAGTCGAAGAACCTTTCAAACTCTCGGACAACCTTTCCTCTTCTATTTTTCTAAGGTTCAACACAGATTCTGAAATTTTGCTACAAGAGCCCCCAAGATCTATGCCTAGGTTAAGCAAAACTGAAAGTTTTGCATCTAATCTAATAGAAACATGAATTAGAGCTTCATGATTTGTTTTCATATACTAGTCCACATCTTACACAAACATGGACTTCCCTTGCAGATATATATTATGTTTGTAATTAATTAGACTTATCTTCAGATAAAACCTTGTAGATGCACTTTAATTAATTAGACTTATCTTCATATAAAACCTTGTAGATGCACTTGGACACAATCATGCCCTTAGAGCACCCGCAATGGTAAAGTAAGGTGCTATCTATAAAACATGTACATCTCAGCAATAAACTAGATTAATAGTAAACCACTTTAATGGTATGTTTACATGGGTATCTATAGCTCTCTAATCCATTGCCTCGTTTTTCTCTATAGACTATCTTCAGGTTAGTAGATAGATTTGCTCTCTCTCTACATTTAATTCTTCCAAGTAGAAAAATATGCTGACATGGATCTCTTGTAGAGAGCCTATAGATAACCATTGCGGGTGCCCTTACTGGTTACAGCTTAATTAATTACTCCCTCCTCATCAGTATTTTAATGTATTACGCCATTAACTTTTTAAGATTATTTTTTATCATTTGTCTTATTCAAAAAATTCATGTAATTATCATTTATTATATTGTGATTTGATTTCAAATGTTCTTTAAGAATGGCATAAATATTATTATATTTATAAAAAAAATTAAATAAAATGATTGGTAGTTAATTTTAATTAGCGACGACATACTTATACATTACCAAGGGAGTACAAGTGATTTTGACCCCCTCCCTACACGTGCTCAGCAACCTTCCAGAACCTTCCTGTGGTTGGGGCTTTTGCGACGCCGACGCGGACTCGCGTTACACTAGTGTAACGTACGTGCACGCGCGAGCGAGTCCGAAGTCTGACACGACTCGGAGTCCGCACGCGTGTGGGTGGCCTCTCTGCCTCTCTCTATATATAACGTGGCAACGAAACGTATGCGATCGCGATCACGAACGACGACTTCACGAGATCTCTCTCCGGCGAGCACCGCGCGCAAGGGCTGACGACTCTCTCTCCGGCGACCGGAGCTAGCGGCTACAACGTCCACCACCTGTAGCATCGGGCTTAGCTAGCGGCGACGGCGATCATGGAGGAGCAGCAGGCGGCGGCTGCGGGCGGCGGAGGCGGCGGCGGCGGCGCGTCGATGTGCGCGAACGGGTGCGGCTTCTTCGGCAGCGAGGCGACCAAGAAGCTCTGCTCCAAGTGCTACCGCGACCAGCTCAAGGCGGCGCCGTCGTCGCCGCCGGCGGCGCCTGACCTCGTCGCGAACGAGGAGGAGGAGGCGAGCACGGCCGCCGCCGCCGCCGCCGACGAGCAGCTGGCGCTGTGCTCGAGCGGCTGCGGGTTCTTCGGCAGCAAGGAGACCAACAACATGTGCTCCAAGTGCTACCGCGACCACCTCAAGGCGACGTCGCCGTTGTTCTCGTCGTCGTCGTCGCCGGCCACCGCATCCACTACCGACATCACCGTCCCCATTGCTCCGGCCACCACGGCGCCGACGCCGTCGCTCAAGGGGAAGGAGGAGGAGGCGACCGCCGCCGCGTCATCGTCGGCGGCGGCGGCGGCGAAGCCTAACAGGTGCGTGGCGTGCCGGAAGAAGGTGGGGCTGCTGGGCTTCGAGTGCCGATGCGGCGGCACGTTCTGCTCGACGCACCGCCACGCCGACAAGCACGCCTGCACCTTCGACTTCAAGAAGAGCGACCGGGAGAAGATCGCCAAGGAGAACCCGCTGATCGTAGCGCCCAAGATCACCAAGTTCTGAAAAAGAAGCACCCCAAATTCATCGATCTTAGTTATAGACCATATGCATGCAAATTTTTCTTCTAGGTTTCTACTATTCTAGTTTAGTTCAGTCAGGCTGTGGCTCAAGGCTTGATGATTTTTTTTTGTTCTTAGTTTCTACTTCAGTCATCTATATGACTCTGTTGGTTGCTGTAACCAGCCTACCTGTAATGCATATGCTACCTATTTCATGAGAATCAGATTATTCATATATAATCAGCATCTGTGTTTAGTTTTATTGGGTGTTAATTGCTGGTTTCAATAATAAGGTTTTATGCAAACTTGCGATTATTTATTTAGGGAAAATATTCTATTCACACAAGCTTAATTCCCGTGCACATCAACTATCAAATATCATAGGAAATTCTAAAAAAAGTTGCACGCATACTCCCAATAGTATTATACCTACGTGTGAAATCTTATCTTCAAATTCATTATATTTTAGCCATAACAAAAAAGTCTGATAGATTTTTACCTTAAAACTGTCAGAATTTTATCTTTTTTTTTTGTTATACGGCCAAAGTATAATGAATTTGAATATGAGACTTTGTATATATATGTGTAATACTATCAAGAGTAAATGTCTATTCTTTTTTTAAAGAAAATCTTTTATGATATTTGCTAATTGGTGTGAACGGGAAACTTGTGTGAATAGGATATGATCTGTGGTTTAACAAGCTCTACCATGCCTCTGCTCAATGCTCATACTTCTGCCCAACATGTGTAAGTTATTGAAGAAGATACCTTAAAAATTAGTTTGGATGTTTGTTTAAAATCTACACAATAAAGATATGAGCTAGTCAACTGGCATATATCTCTACTATTTTAAAAACGCAATCGTTCTTTTTCTTACTGTACACTTCTTCGTGGGTGTTAACCACCATAGGATCCAATCATTCCTCCTCAATTCCACCCACCTAGCCCCCAACTATATGGGCCTAGTTTTTTTTAAAGTACGAGCGTATTACTAATAACTTTTAATAATATAATGTTTTTCTGGCAGTAAAGAATAACTGAAGTCTACATAAATTGGTATGCACAATTAAAATTAATTTTAATTTTGCCAAACTACATTTTGACTAAAAATGAAAATCATCTCACAAATTCTTGATATGCAATGCGATACATGCTCCGGTCATCTGTGACCTTGATGAACTCTGTCAATTGGTGGCGGTGACCCTATCAGATACAGGGTTGGGATGTCTGCCATCTAATCTTCTTCACGATTCATGCAAAGTGCATCTGAATAAGCTCATCGAACAACTTGCTCCTAAGTTGGCGACTCCTTTTTGCTTTGCATGACACGTGGTAGTCATCAATGAATTTAATTACTCTATTTACACAGTAAATACATTGTAATTACACATGTGTAAATCCATGTGTAATTACAAATTACATATGTAAATTTGGGACTTACAATGTAAATATATGTTAACTATTTTTTCATAAAAAATATGGTGGCATATATATAGGTAGTCCCATTAATAAGACATGTAATGCTGGTAGCTAGGACTTCTCGTTCGCTAACACATATAGCACGAACACTTTTGATCAGAATCTATAGATAGCGCTGAGACAAGGTCATGATCGATCCCCCGCCTTGAAGAATGAAAGATGAGATCCAATATCCCCAATTTGGGTTTTTCATAATAACTTATTTATGTAGATGGTTGTAATTAACATGTACACATGACACACAAATCGGCACACGAACCGAAGATCTTTCTAAATTATGATCGATGATCCATCGTCTTCACTACCCTACAGCATTAGGCGATTAGCCTTCAACTCTTGATGCTATTAAGTACAAGCTTAGCAAATCACTCGCACGTCCGGACCATTCGCCGTCGCCGGAGCCGTGTCACGGCGGCGCCCTCGCCGTCGTCTCCAACCTCGACGACCTGATGATGACCACCCCTCGCGCTATCCCGGTCGGCATTCTTGAAGCCGAAGCCGCTGGCGCCGCCGTGCGCGTCGCCGAATGTCCCGACGTTCAAGTCGCAGGCGAGCGACGCCAGCAGGGCGCGCGTCCTCGCCGCCTCGGCGGTGCCGTCGACGGCATTGAGGTGGTCCCGGTAGCACCGCGCGCACAGGTTCTTGCTCCTCGCCGTCGTCGTCGCGACGACGCCGCCGCAGCAGTTAGCGCAGGACGGCACGCCGCCGCCGCCGCCGGCGTCAAGCTCCAGCTGCTTCGCCGCCATCAAACCCGACGACGATCAAGAACTGCTTGAACCAATCAGCAATCGGTGATTCGGAGAGCTGGAGGGAGGGAGGGAGCAGCGGCGGATTTGCTTCGTGGACGACGCTGGAAGCAAAGCCTCCTTCGCGCCATTAAGTAGAGAGAAGATAAGGCGGTTCGCGCCATATCCGAGTCGGATTCCGAAACGTTCTAAAAAAAAAAAATCGGATTCATTTCCGAACTCTACTATTTACGACAATGTACAAAAAGACCCTTATAGAAAAGTTAATTTATATAGAGACCCTAAAAAGTTTACTTATTTGCGAAAAAGCCCTTGTATCTTATCCCCGTCTCCTCCTCTCTCTCGAGTCTCCACGCCGGCGGCGGCTTCTCCGGTCGAAGGATTGCTCCGATGGCTTCGCCGTCGGCGCCACCCTCTCTGCTCTTCCGCCTCCGCCCGACGCCTCGCGGCGGCGGGGGGATGTGGCCGCTCCGCGTCGTATCCAAGCGGAGGAGGCTGCGCCAGCTTCTCTCGCCAAGAACCGGTCGCCGTCGGGTGGGAGAGGCAGCGGTGGAGCAGCTGGTGCTACGGTTGCCGGAGACTGGCCGGAGAAGGGGCGATGGAGGCTTCGCCTGCTCTTGCTCCTTCGATGACAGCAACGAGTCGCCCCAGCTTCCTCCTGACAATGTGTGTGCTATGATGAGTTCTATTGAATTGTGATTTTTTTAAAAAAATTCTTTTCCGAAGTGTTCGGTTGTGAATTGTGATTTAGTCGTTGCTAAAAACGTTGTGTTTTTTCAGAAGGAAATTTTGGACGATTGGTCCGTGCTTCGCCGGTGGGATGTGCCATGGGAATGGCCAACCATTTCACTCACCATGGTGGCCTGTGCAGTAAGGTGATATATATGATGCATCTTGGACTATTGATGCTGTGCGGTAGCATTCTAGTTTCAGAATTTTGTTGTCATTGTTGTGTAAAATGGAATTTAGTTTGTGTTACTCGTCGTTAAATCTTCAATGAGCTGCCTTGCTTTTACAGTTTGGCAATTTTCTAGTGCAGTCCATTTCTAGTGATCCACATTAATCTGAGCATCTTGGATGTTCTGTAAATCAATCAATAAATGCCTTGTAGAAATTGCTGAATGTTCTTTAGACAGCTTTCTTCTGACAGGAATGGTTGAGCAGGCTGTTCTGGAGTATATAGGTTTTGAAGCTGGGGAGGCAACTATAGATGAGAAGGCGGAAGTACTCTTTCTGGGGCAATTGTATGGATCTAACCTACTCTTCCTATATGTAAAATCACCTGATATTGCAATTCAATACCTAGATGATCTTCAAGTACTGAATGCCATAATGTAAAATCACCTGATATTTGCAAGTACAGTAGCGTGACTGCAGCTGTGCTTGGAGTTATATTTGGCATCACCAATACCTACCGGCCGTTCTCAAATGATATATTTCGTTATGGTAAGATTATACTGTTATGTTTCATTTCATGATGTTCTTTCTTATAACATATGAACACATTATCATATTTCAAAAGATTAGATTGGTATACATTACTTTGATGGCATGAAGAATACCTAATATCTGAGAATATTGCTGCTTTCTGGACTATGATTAGCCTGTTCGATCTTTTCAAGCTCTGAATGACAATGTATTGATGCAATTATGTTCTTAAACCTTCAGATTTGAAAGAGCCGTTTAAGCTTGAAAATGGTTGGCTACTATGGGCTGGGATCGGTTTCTTTGCCGCAATAATCTCTATTGCTTTAGCTGGAGCTGCAATGTCCTTTCTGGGTGGTGAAACTCCAGAGCGAGAGGTGTACACATTTTTATGCTTCAGTATCTAGTTTCCTGTTGTCATACTTAGTACTGCCCTTTATAAGTTGACAACCCTGATTGTTGGGGTACCAGCTTATATTTCACATTTACTGATCTACTTATTGATAATCTTCTTCCAGACCGACTCGTTGGTCCTTTTATTGCCACTAATTGGCTCGTCTAATATTAGGTGCGGTTTATCTGGACTTTCTTTTGCTGTTTTCAGAAGTTACTGATTTACTGTTAATAAGACAGGCAACACAGACTTACTTAACTTTTGATTTTTCCCCCCTTGTTTGTAGCACTGCCTGTTTACTGGGCATCACTGGGGTTCTTGCGCCGATTCTGGAAGAAACTGTGTTTCGAGGATTTCTAATGGTGTCCTTGACCATGTGGTATTATACAAATAATATTTTTCTTGGTCCAGAGGCTTCCTTTCAAAAGATTATCTTAGAAATAGAACATTACAGAACAATGCATTCAGGGTATTTTATCCTTAGCTAATAAATAATTTTCTATGCAGGTTTTCTACTCCAATTTCTGTGCTTATCACTGCTTCAGTGTTTGCCTTTGCTCATCTTACACCAGGCGAATTTCCACAGCTATTTGTGCTTGGTAAGTGACTATTAGCTAGATAGTACACAACACAAGAAAGTGCAACCTGCCAAATCCCCACTCGCAGTGTAGTTACTCAATGAGGTGTTGCACCTGGGTATAAATAATTTGGAAAAACTGAAAAGTTCTGGGACTTCTGTCTTGGCATGATATAGCACTTTTTACTTGACTGTATTTCCTATATCCATTGAATGATCACAGGTATTGTACTGGGATTCTCATATGCTCAAACTCGCAATCTTCTCACTCCTATTATTATACATGCTATGTGGAACTCTGGAGTAATATTATTGCTAACAGTTCTTCAGGTTTGTATTGTTCTCTTGTCATCACATTGTTCCATATTTTTTACATTTGTTTTCTGGTATTAGAGAGAAATATGGACAGCTCTGATGATTCCCTTTTTAGTTCTATTTCTATCTACTAAATTATTTGAGAATGGGCCAACTGTAAAGAAAGTTCTAGAGGAAGTTTAATCTACTCTGCTATGAGTTTTCATGACAAACTGCAAGGTTCCTTTTGTCTAAAGAAACTAGGCATCCAATCATATATACTGCAGTAAATGTATTTCTCCAAAACATATTTAAATTAATGTATGTGCTTTGTTATTGACTTATTGTCCATCAGTTGCAGGGATACAATATCAAGGAGCTGTTGTTGGCATCTTGAAGGTTTCAGTTGGTTATATTAGTTTTATATTGTGCTGCCTTGCATATTATAAAGGCACCTAAGATGACAAATACACTCTTAGATGATCCTTATTTTTCTTTTCAGAATGGTCTAGTAATCTTTTTAGTCAAGCAATTTAAGAGTTTGCTCTCCTATGATGTCATCTTTATTTTTCAGGAGGTTCCATGCTATTTTTTGCTCTCAATTTAAAAGCTGGGTTGTATGACCTTTGATCTAAAAAAATGTGACGGCGTATTTCAAGGCAACGCAAAACAGAAACTCTGAGTACTTGCTCTGTGGTCAACATATGCACTTTGTGGAGTCCATCTAGATTATAGTTTTCTAGTAATCATTTATTTATATTTTTTAACCTAAGTGTAGTAGGCTAGTAGCTTCACATCTCATGAATGGTTTAGTTTACAAACATGTCAATTGTAAACAGAGGGGGATCATTTTCCTTACGAAGGTTAAAACTTTATAGGAAACCTCAGCAACCAATTACCAGTAACTCAGTTAATAGTAAATGGTGTACTGCCTCTGTTGATTTATATAGGGCATATTTATTTTGGAAGAAGTCTTGAAGAATAAAGTTTGGCCATCTATTTCTTACAAAATATACTGTTGATGTAACATTTTGTGAAAGTGCTTTGAATATGAATAAATGTACTTTTAATCTGACTAATTGTTGGTCAACATATACAAAGTTTGACCTTTTGATATCAAAATATGCCTTACAAAAACCAATGGAGGGATTATTTTAGTGCTTGTGTCAGTTGTGTGCTCTTATAGAAACTAAAGTGAGTGCAAACATGGCTCAATACATTTAATTATTGAATGTTGGTGATTGGAACTCAGGCTTTCACTTTGCTCTAAAATTTTGAATTTCACACTTTGGAGAGTTCTAAAGCACTTATCCATGTTTTGCATTGATAATGCATCATTCATGTTATCTTTGATTATTTCATACATTTATCACTTCTAGGAAGAACCATTGCATCGATGTACAGTCCATGACCATGAGTTTGTGCTTAATTTTTAGAGATTTTTATGTTCTTGGGGAGTTGAGGACCATGTACACATGTAGTAGAAGTGTATAATACAATCATGGCCAATGTAAAGTATAGTATCTGATCAGAATGTTCATGTCATTGTTACCCAGTATCCACTCTCCTTGAACTAGATGAGAGTATGAAACTAGTCAGGTACTCCATCAGGTGCATTGTCCTCTTGTTACAAACATTTTTGTTCTGCACGTGCTGTTTCCCTGAATAGTTTGGACCACTAAGGTAGCTATCTATTGGGAAATGTTCCATCAAATTATGTAGTGTTTCATTTAATTCAGAGTTTTTAATGTTCTCCAATTTGACCAAGAAGAGCTCAATCCATATTGGAATCTGACAAGTTCCCCTCGGTTTTCCTTCCTTGTTTAAGCAAAACACCAATAGGATTTACTTGCTTTCTCACTAAAAAAGGGGTGGCTCTTTCTTTCATGCATCTAACCAATGTGAACTCACAATTGGATGCTTTAGGGTCATCCACTAATTTATTAGGATAGCTAGGGAGAGTAAAGCATGCTCAAGGGATCTCTATAAGATGTATGGATCCAGTTAGGGCCAAATACTGCATTATAATGTAGCAGAGTGATAAGTTGTTACTATTGTGATATTGACCCCTGTTGTTAGCTGTCTGATTAGTACATGCATGTGTGAAGGCAAACCTACATTTAATATAGAACATGATATGTAAGAGTATCTTGCAAGTTATGAAATCAATTGTATTTTGCACTAAAGGGATCTTTGTAATGAAAATATGGGCTATTGGTGAACATCTGTCTCCTGTTAAGTAGGTCTTGCAGCTGTAGAAACTTTCCTGTTGTTAGAACAATTTGTATCACATATATACAGATGATGCAGATATCCTTGTGCCCCCAAAAATAGTTTAGTAGAATTCCCATTAATTCTGAAATAATTTATTTTCACTGCTTTTATGGTTTCCTCTTTTTTTTTTCACTAATCTCTAGCTTTTGGAGTTCCATAATGAACTGAATATTATCAGAAGGTGTTTCTTTGCTTTTGGAGTTTTTGTACTAGTGCAGAGAACTGAATTGATGGTGACATCAAAGATGTAACCCCAGGGGACAAACCTTAATTACTGTATTATTATTAACCAGCAGCGGTATTGCTCGGTGTCATTCCTGGTGACGTTGCAAGGTGGATGTTACACGTTGCTTTCTGAGAAATTATTTTTTCCATCGCTGTAAGCCTGTAACTATCAGAAGAAGATGCCTGCCTGATGGATTTGGAAGAATTTTCGTATGGAAAATTCTCAGTTTGTGTCATCATCTGCATGGATAAAGATGGAAAGTGTAAAGAATGTCCCTTTTAAAATTGCCATTGCTCATCGGCAGACAGTTTATCTCCAAAATGCTTCTTTCGAAAAAAAATTACTCCAAAATGTTTTTAAGAATCAGGATAAAAGACAAAATTATGCTTGAGTCTTAAAAAAACCTTGTTTGCTTGTTGCTATATATATATATATATAAAACACCTTTTTCTTGTTATATTCGAAATTCATAATGTGAGGATCATGTATACTCCCTGCCCTAAACAAACTTTATTTTTAGCAAATCTCACACATACCAATAGAAATCTGAAAATATTAGAATGCCCTTCACTTTAGCAAACTCCAATGCATATATTGCTTTAAAGATGAAGCTTTTTTAGGATAAATAAGATGGGCTAAAAACGGAGTTTTTCTGGACAATAGGAGTATAGGAGTATCTACTTATAAATAAGATTACCTGTGCCGACACATTTAGTTAAATAAAAGTTGATTTCTGTTAGTGACATGCCCTAGAGGCAATCATAGAGATGATTGTATCACATACTATATTTACATATTTATCCGACTTTGTTCCTTGAAATAGATAACTCATTATTGGTTAATGAATATGTGATTCTTTCATGAGACTCTTTATGTTGTGTGGTGCTATTTCTAAAGGATCACTTATCAAATATCATATGTGAAATAAATATGTTTAGATGATCAGCACATGTATTAATTGATGATCATGTCTCATGGATCATGGTATAGAGATACCAAATTAATAATGTGGACATATATTAGTGAACATGTTGTTGGATAGACCCAACATGAGACATTACAAGAGCCATATGTTTTGTGTCATCAGTGATCTCATTTAGTGTTGGTGTTGAATTCTTAGACCTGAGATTATCATGGTTCCCAACATGGGTAATAGTTTACTTAGGGACTGCTAAATGCTACTCCGTAATTGGGTAGTTATAATAGTAGTTTTCGGATATGCTATGAAACATGTAGTGAGATATGAATAATCAAGATGGGATTTGCCCCTCCTATAGAGAGATATCTCTGGGCCCCTCGATGTTGTAGATTATGGAAGTGCATGGCCATGCCAAAGGTGATTGAGGAGTCAATCATAAGTTATATAATCTATCAACAGGTTCGAGTGAATGATTGAGCTATTAGAGGATGGCACATATCTAGCCTTGAGCTTAATCGATATCGTGAGGCAAAGTGGTTCATACAAGTATACACTAGGGGTTCAGCCGATATGATCTTTATGTATGCCCATTGGGTCAATACGTTCTGCTAGGGGCCGCTGTTGACGCGTGGACCGAAAAGGAGTTTTCGGGTTACAGCCGAGTGTACATGAACTTACAGGGTCGCACGTTTAATTGGCCAGAATAAGGGGATTGGATGGAGATCCAATATGAGCTTAATGCGGATAGGGATCCGAATAGGAGTCCTACGGGCCTTAGAGACCTGAGTGATGGATCCTATATATTCGCGAGGGGTGTGACCGGCGGAGGTATTGCATCACGTGAGAAACCCTAGTCGTCACTCCCCTCCCCGAGCAAAACCCTAGCCGCGCGCGGGTGCTAGCACATCTGCGCGTGGCGTTCCATCCCTGTACGTGTGGATACCGGTAGAGGCGCCGCTGGTTTGCGGTGCTGATCAGCGTGGGAATACGGCGAGGAGAACGCACGAGGAGGAGAAGGTCAAGCCGGTGCGATCGACTACTTCCTCTACATCGACGCGCGCTACTTCGCGAGAATTCCTTCAACTTCTTAGCGCCTTCTTCCGCTGCACAGCGCGTCGAGTGGTAACGATCTATAATCTAATACTTGCATGGTTCCTGGTTTACATGATTGAAAATTTTGATTTATGCTATCGTAGCCTACGCGTATCCCAACAATTTCAACCAGTAAAATGTTGTGAAATTTGTTAGACTTTCAAATCTTTACCTTCCTAACTACTAACCTGATTTGATTGATCATATAATCTACTCGTTCTTCCCGAAAACATAATAATCTAGGATCGGATTGATATGTCTAATCCAATTCTAAATTATTATTTCCTCCGTTTCACAATGTAAGTCATTCTAGCATTCTTCATATTCATATTGATGTTAATGAATCTAGACATATATATCTATATAGATTCATTAACATTACTATGAATGTGGGAAATGCTAGAACGACTTATATTGTGAAACTGAGGGAGTATATTTTAGGACTATGGCTTTAGTAAGTTGCGAAATTCAGCTATGAGAGTAGCAGACTGTCAGCTTAGCTCAGTGATAGTGACGTCTTTAGTCTATTGCGGGTGTGCATCTAAATTTTGTCTTATAGTAGTACTTAGATAATTTTCTTAATGCATGCACAGGTCTTTTTGTGTATTTCGAAAAAAAAAGAAATTAAGGCAGACTTATGTACATCGTGTGAACACGAAATTCTGTTAAGTTTTCTGAAGAACACTAGAAGCAACAACTTCAAAGGTTAACAAGAAGTTCCAAGGCAATGCTTCAATTGCAAGATTCCTAGGCACTCCTTTCATTCTTGATGAAAGCTCGATTGACCCAAAATTTAAAGCACTATGACTTCTTGCCGTACCAAAGTAATTAATGTAAGTAGGAGTTCTCCTCGTGCAAAATCTCGCTTGATTTGGAAGAAATGAGGTTAACAAGATGATGCTAATTAGTAATTTACACGGAGCACGAAATCTCTGTCCTTTAATTTCCTTTTTTCCATAACAACAACATTTCACTGCTTCCCATAGCCTTATCAGAACAGTCAACAGTCATTTCATTTCAATCTGAACTAACATTTTTACGAATTAATCATCAAATCAAAACTAACATTTTACTACATTGAGCTTTGCTCTTGCAGCTGTCAACGAGGAGCAGCAGCAGCAGAATGCATGGGCATGTGTTCCATGAAACCATGAATCCGAGCAGGAGATGCAGAGAAGAGATGGATCGCTTGAGCCTGAAGCGTTTGACGTTGACGCGAATCAAATCTCAGTGAAGTGCAGTTGAGAGAGCTTTGGTCCAAAATCGAGATGGGGATTTGTTCTTCCAAAGCTGGGGAGATTAATGGTGTTGCCTGCTCAATTTGCCGGGAATTGGGGAGACATTGGGTTTGCATTTAGTACAAATCACAAAGCTTTTTGATGAACATTTTGACCTGACTGACACAAGCGCACGGGCGAAGCCTTTTGTCCTCGAGCGATTGGAAGGAGCAAGAACTCTCACCCCCTGTGCTGAATTCTCGCGTCACTGTCCATGATCCAGTGATCATTTCTTGGATGTTTTTGTTTGTGTGTTTTTGCAGTTAGTAAGATAATTAAGAAACTACTTAATTACCAGTTGTCTTGTTCTTCATTTTCATGGATCAGTTTGCAGATGAGATCTCTCTTCAATGAAATTGGTGGCTCACCGATTCGTTAAAAAAAGTTTATAGATGAGATATTTTTCCCTTTCTCTAGCAGAAAAAAGTTCATTTTGAAATGGACATGTACTTTCCATGAATGTTTGAAACACACCGTGTGTTTGCATATAGTAATTGAATCTAAGATGGGATTAAACTATTCAGCGTGCCTATCCAGTTTTCTAGTATGTTCAGAATCTTGCAAAATATTTAAGAATGCAATCTTATGGACTGTGGAATAATAATTCCATGTGGAGTAGTAAGAGTACGTGATGAGTTAGCATAAGATTAACCATGCTGACCATGGAGCAAATTGGACCGGTTTCCAGCGTGGCAACTCAGCTGCAATTAAATTTAGTGTAACAGAACTCTACTTAGAATAATAGAAGCTTCCCTTCCTTCCAACACTTAGCAGTGTCTCACACGCTAGCTGATAAAAAAAATTGTTGAGCTATTACACTGCCTAAGGCCATCACTATCTTATGAGAATTCAGCAAAAAACAATATATATTTTAGTGACTACGCATTACTAAAGAAATATATTACTCAGGAAGAATAGAACATCAGTGAGTATTTCAGAATCCCAAAACATCAGTGAGTAGGTTTTAGAATCAGTATTAAAGAAATATATCTTGAAGTTCATGTAACCAAAATTACTCAGGAGGAATGAAACATTCTAAATAAACTAAATGTATTGGTGTATTTGGAGAGGCTAAAACAAATTTCTGAAAAATTCAGAAGGCTAACTGTTGCATAGTTTAATGATTGTTTTGACTGCCGTACATGAGTATTCTAAAGTGTGAATTGAAAGTGACGGTAATCTGCTGAGCTTGTTGTTCTCTTTGAGACACTGATCCGGGATTAAAGAAACCTTGACAGCTTCAAATAGAGAACACTTGTTTAATGCAGAATGAAATCCTTCAGACTTGTGGGCCTCATCTAGTCAATCTAAGCATCACAAGCTTTCATATATAAGTACACATGGTGTGTAATGGATTTGCAATAGTGATCAACTGTGTCTTCACCTCACTGGCTTCATCCCTAGAAGCCATTCACTAGCTACTGCACAAGTAGTACAGGAGCATCTTTTGTCAGATTTGCTTCAGGCTTGATCTTTTCTTGTGTGAGATATGGAGGAGAGAAATGATGTCAACATGGACAAGTCAGATGAGATCCTCCTGCCTGGATTCAGGTTTCATCCTACAGATGAAGAGCTGGTTAGCTTCTATCTCAAGAGGAAGATCCAGCAGAAGCCTATCTCCATTGAGCTCATCAGGCAGCTTGACATCTACAAGTTTGATCCTTGGGATCTCCCAAGTAAGCTTGCACCTACTTGTTCTTACTTCTTGAACCTTAATGAATGGATTCAATCATTCAAACACAAAAACTCCAAACTTTAGAAGTTCATTTTTAAAGATAGCAAGAGGAAGAGAATATTTTCTTTGTAGTTTAAGGACATCTTAGGAACTGCAAATTAAACATAAGAGAAAAACTAACCGGCTTATGTGATGTCTAGTTGAATAGAAACTAGTGACACTTCTCTGTTGAAAGTTGAAAGTAAAGTCACCAATATCATTTTTGTTGTAACTGATAAAGTTATACTCGTAAATCACCTTACTGCAATGTGTCTGACTTCACTATGTTGATCATTGACAGAGCTTGCGAGCACGGGTGAAAAGGAGTGGTACTTCTACTGCCCGAGGGACCGGAAATATCGCAACAGCGTGAGGCCGAACCGGGTGACAACAGCTGGGTTCTGGAAAGCCACAGGAACTGACAGGCCAATCTACTCCACTGAGGGTACCAAGTGCATAGGCCTCAAGAAGTCCCTTGTCTTCTACAAGGGCAGAGCTGCAAGAGGGATCAAGACTGACTGGATGATGCATGAGTTCAGGCTTCCTACGCTCACCGATCCATCGCTCCCGAAGAAGCCGATTGACAAGAACATTCCGCTCAACGTAAGCATTCCATTCGCAATTTGTTATAGTCTTATAGAACTGAATTCCAAGGTTTTGTCAAATTCTGAGGGTGCACTGTTCTGTTTCTGAAAACAGGACTCCTGGACAATCTGCAGGATCTTCAAGAAGACCAGTTCCATGGCACAAAGGGCACTCTGTCAGACCTGGGGAGCTCAATTGCCTGGAACAATTGATCCAGACATCTTCTCTACATTGCAATCTGTGCAAGCTTCACAGTTTGCCCTGGAGAGTTCCTCCTGCTCATTGCAAGCTGCAGCAACGGCAGCTCATCAGATCACTAGCAAGTATGCATTGCAAGGTAATAATAATAATCAGCAGCAGCAGCAACAGCACAAGCCTAGCAATCCACTAGATGGATCTTCATGCAAGGTCATAAACTTCAACTGCAGTCAATCTGCAGAAGTCCAGAACTCCCAGATCATACTGCCATTTGAGGCACACACATCGCAGAAGACCGCTACGCCGCTGCTCTTCGACACGCAGTTTGGGCAGCCTGACCAGATCAGCAGATTTGTGGTCGATTCATCTGTAAATGCAAATGGAGGAGGCATCAGCAACAAGAGCCAAGATCCATCAGCAAGAAAGCCTGGCAGTGGCTTCAGCATGAACAGTGACTGGGATGGTGTGGCAAGAATCAACTTCCCGTTCGATTTAGGAGCAGATTCTTCAGAAGATTGGAGGAGCAGCATACCTTGGGAATCCTTCCTTAGCCCAACTACTGTCCATGCTGAGATGCCAAACTAGCTGCAGAGGAATGCCAGGGGTGTTGTTACTAATATTATTCAGAGATATAGATGTACAAATACAGTGAGTCACCTTCATCTGTTAGCATTTCTGTTAGCAACAAAAAAAAAAAAGGTATTGTTTCTTCAGTTTTGATTAGATGTACTGTACATACTGTGAGATATAGGAGTACTTGTTAACAGCAAAGCTAACAGAGAGAAGGTTACTTTGGTTGTGTTGTACATACATTTTCGAGTTTCTGAGTGCTGTGAGAGTGTGATGAGTATTGTATTGTCAGTAGAAGAAATATATGTGAATTTATATGGCAGATTGGCAGCTTTAGAAATATACTCCCTCCGTTTCGAAATATTCGACGCCGTTGACTTTTTTAAATATGTTTGACCGTTCATCTTATTCAAAAAAAATTAAGTAATTATTAATTCTTTTCCTATCATTTGATTCATTGTTAAATATACTTATATGTATACATATAGTTTTACATATTTCATAAAAGTTTTTGAATAAGACGAACGGTCAAACATATGCTAAAAAGTCAACGGTGTCAAATATTTAGAAACGGAGGTAGTATTAAAAAGGAGGGGATGTTACAGACCATGAATCTCATCCTTTCCGTATACATACCTGTCTCGACGTTGCATCAAAGCTCTACTTTCACAAAGAAAGAATTTCAGGTTCCACACATCAAACATAATTAGCTATTTCAAATACCGTTTGGAGATGGGTATAAAGCATTTCAGATTCCACACATAAAACATAATTGGTAGTTTGGGACTACTTCAAATACCATTTGGAGAAAGTTATCGCTATCAGACGATATCACGATTACTTTGCTGTGGATATTGCAAACCCTGTTTCGAAGAGGCACTTCTTCAGTATTTGCCAGTTTTTCTTAGCCAAAGTAAGATATTTAATTTATTCAGGTCAATTAGCGTGTTAAACTGCACTATGGGTGTTTTGGTTACTGGTCACAACTAAAGTTAGGTAAATTGTGACAGCCACAAAAGTATGGTAACAAATTGCTAGCCATAAAATATGGCAAAGTTAACATGCTAATGAAAAGGTGAAAGAACATGCGTAACAAACTGTAACAACCAAAGTGCGGCCAGAAACCAAACACCCCCTGTATCCGAAAGTTAAATTTCAGAAATGCATCATCTTGTTCTTGCCGAGTTGATAGACATCGACATGCTGATATGACCAATTGTGCATCCAAGTATCCAACATTCTGGGCATATTTATCACCAAACGAAATAGACCAGCTAACAAAAAGTATTACCAAATAACAGAGGGAGTAAAACAACCACAAATCATTTAAGGGAGTGAATTAAGTCAAATAAAAAGATGGCTAACATGTAGGTGAATTCGACTAGTACCCAATAGTTCATACAGAAATTTCATAATTAAGGAACAAGGGGATCAGATGTCCCAATACTCCGACAATTATAAGATGAGAGGATTTGAAAACCCTAAACTCAAAAGGTAGGTCTCTCACATGCTAAACATCATCCAACATAAACCACCATCAAAAATACTCTTCACTGTGTACAAAACAGCATTGTGCAACCCTTACAAAGGAGCTCTACTTTGCGGTCTTGTCCTTGGTTTTCTGTATTTTCAGGACCTTCTTGACAATCTTCTGCTCCTCGACCAAGAAAGCACGGATGATCCTGCAGAGTTACAGTTGCAGCTAATAAGACCACAATACAGATCTTGAAAGTTTTCACATCAGAATATCTAGCATTATGTACTGACCTTTCCCTAACTGCAGTTCCAGAGAGCACTCCACCATATGGACGGTTCACAGTCCTGCGGTTCCTAGACAACCTGGACCTCTTGTACTCAGCAGGCCTCAAGTGGGGAATCTGGAGAAAATAGAACACTGTATAAATCCTCAAGTACAAATATCCAGTGAAATAGCATAGAGAAAAGTAATATCGGTAATATGAAGAACCAAACGGTATCCATGATTGTAAGTCAACCAAAGTTCTCTATCCTGCAGTACATTTCTCAACTAATACAAACAAACGACTCTATCCTGCACTACATTTCTCAATTAATACAAACAAACAAAGGGTTTCTGCTTGTATTGGAACTAAAAGCGCCACTTCAGGCCCAGTAGTAGGCTAGGAAGTGAAATAACCTCGACTACTGTAATGTTGCACAAGACAAGATCGGACGTAAATATGAAGCCATAAATCCAAGGAGCAATAGACTTGAAATAGTACCAAGAAGTGTAGACTATTCAATTAGCATTTCAGAACTCCAGAGCAATTCTCTCTTAGCTACAACACATACCACCTAAATGTCATTGGACAATGTAACAAGCACCCATTTTTAGTAGATTCACCTACTGCTACCTGTATTACCCATTACTAATTAGTACATTCGATTTGGTCCATAAGCCAAATACTATACTTGTTCATCAACAGATTTAGACAAAAGATTAAAAAGACAACAGCATTCCCCAATCAAATTTCGTGCAGCAGTCCCCCCCCCCAAAAAAAATCACAATTTAATTAACCTTAAAGACAAATTCCACCACCAAATCATCTAATCAAACAACCCAAAAACAAGATCTAGTTCAAGCATTAGTTCCACAATAACAGCATTAAGCACAGCTACTAATCAGCGCAAACCAGGACCTACTCGTACATCGGATACAACACTAACGACGCACAATCCATCCGCATGCGACACTATAATAGCCCCGCGGAAATCCCAAAATAAAGTAAAATACAGCGAATAAAAGAAGAAGCCGCATCGCGCATCGCTCACCCCCTGGATCTTCTTCCCGGTGACGGGGCACTTCGGCCCGCTCGCCCTCTTCTTCGTGTACTGGTACACAAGCCTCCCACCTGCAACAACAATCCACCACCAAACACATCACAAATCTGCAACAGATCAAGAAACCACACCAGGCAACAAGAAAATTCTTCAAGCAAGAACGGATCCGTACCTGGGGTCTTGACGACCCTGGTCTGGTTCGACTTAGTCGCGTAGCTGTGACGCTTCCGGTAGGTGAGCCGCTGCACCATCTCGCCACCGCCGCCGCCGCGATAAACCCTAGAAACGAGGCTGGGTGGGTGGGTGGGTGGAGGTGGAAGAAGAGGGCGAGGCGGCGGCGGCGATAGGGGTATAAATGATTGGCTATGGGGGTGGGCGGGGAATGGACGGCTCGGATCGGCTTGATCCGACGGTCGGGGATGGTGTTGGGCTGGTTTGGCCCGTCGTGGGTCCTCTTGTTGGGCCGTCGTGGGCTTCATCCCGGAGAGGTACTGGAATTTAGGCCCGTTTTGTACTTGTATGGTGGGCTGGTTCAGGTTGCAAATGGGTTTCTTTCTCTTTCTCTCTTCTTTTTTTTTGAGATGGCAAATGGGCTTCATGAAGTTTGTGCTACTTCCTCCGATTTCAAATATCTGCCAATGTTTATTGGCTATCAATAATAAATTGAATGATTATATCATGGTATATGAAATAGGCCATTTCTTAAATTGTGTTGGTGTGTCATTTAGGTCCATCAACTTTTAAAATAATTTTTTGGATTCCCGAATTTATCTTGCATATCATATAAGCCTAAACGGGCTCCGACCCGCTTCGTGCGTTGATGTAATATACCATAATGATGCATACGTATTAGTACGATACATATATCAGTCACATAGAAAACAATTAAATTAAGACAACTTTGTCCTCTTTCTCACGCAGACTCCCGAAAATGTTTTTTAAATTATGTGACTAGTTTGTGAGTTCTACTAATACGTATGCGTCGTCGTGACATGCTACTCTATATGTGGAATAGATTGGAGCTCGTTTGGACTTTTATCACTATACGACACCCAAAACAAGTTTAGAGACTTGAAAGTGTACGTTAAAAGATGAGGAAACTGAATTAAACACAAGTTTAAGAATCGTCCGTGCATTTTACTCATTTAATTTGTTCATATGACATATGGCCTACTTTTAGGTTTCTATGCATTCTCAATTTTATAGGATAACGAGCGGTTAAAGTGTAAAGATGGATACTGTAACCATTAACCAATATATAAGTATTTGAAAACGGAGTAAGGAAATGTTTCTTAGAAAAAAAGGGACAAGTTTCAGTGAAGCATATAAAGTCATTTAAAGATTTAAACTGTCATGACTACAGTCAAACATATGTCTACGTACATTTTCAGTGCATTGATTTATTGTTCAGTTCGTGGGGGCAACATCGATGATGGGTAGGTGCCGATTGGCCGTGTCAAGAGAAAACGAGCTAACAACGACGAAAATTGTAGCTCAACATCATGCCATCATGGTGGTAATTAATAAATTAAAGGCATCTCTTTTTTGAACAAACCTAAATTAAAGGAATCTGAATACAAAATTTAATTACATGGCATTTGAACCACACCTCGATCGCCAAGGTTAATACCAGAGATTACGTTAGACTTGTCAATATAAATTATGACACGTCCACTTAATTGCAGTACTATAGAGGCCACGTGAGAGATGTATAAACTAGTGGCATGATCATATCGCTAGCATTGGCCCGGCCCACGTACGTACGCGTGTACGGGACCTCGTCTCATTGCTTTCATCTGATCAACATCTCGTAATTAATGATGTCGCAAAGATATAAATCTACATATATATACTTATATATGTTAATTCTTTGTTACTGATAGTCGTCATCGTCTATAGCTAGATAACCTGAAGAAACCTTCAGTTTCATACGACATGTCAATCATGTCATACCAAGCGATCCGCAAGTAAGGTAGTCAGGATTGGGTTACTGGGTGTGATCTTTTTTAATCTTTTATCAGTATGAAATATCGTATCATTGAGACAATATCAAATTTTATAAATTACAAAAAAAAAGTTATATAAGATATAGGGAGTTGGAGCTCAGCAAATCAGTTTCAGCTCCATCTAAAATGGGAGCGGAGCTGGGTGGAGCACCTCTCACAAAATGAACTGGAGTTGTGCAGCTGGGTTTAGGCAGCTCCACAACTCCACTCCAGACCCAACTCCTATAGCTAAATTTAGGAGTTGGAGCTGTACCAAACAGGCCCATACATTACATGTAAAATTGAAGTCTATTATATTGATTTTAATACATTTAATTAACTTTTTAGTTAAGTGGACTTGTTTACAGTATTTTTTTCAATCCACCTTAAATTTGAATAGTTAATAGTACTCCCTCCATCTAAAAGTTTAAGCGTATTTCTTGGCACTATGACCAACAAAAAGAAATTAACTCATCCAAAATATAACAAAGACCAAGAAACTTTATATGCATGTAGTAACTAACGAATATTAATTAATATGGTTGCTCAGATTACAGGCAATAATTTAATCTAGCATTGTAAAACGAAAAAAATAATCTCTTTATTTATTTAAGTTTTTATGCATGAAGACTACAAATATAACTATCTTATTTGAAAAAAATATAAAAATAAATAAATATGTTTAAGATTTTGAATGGAGGAGGTACTTGCTTAGTATCGCACGATCGGGAACTACATATATAAGATCAAGATCTTACTGATCTCATGGTGATCGTACGAAATTAGAACACATGGTAAGATTAGTATCATTTCGGTTTGGTTGGACGATAATTTTGATAGGGATCATAGGAACCTTGGCTGTAGCCCGCTGTGGTGCTGTCAAACAACCGGGGAATTGAAGGGCGCTGCCGCTGCGTCGAAAGGAGAAGGTAGTGCAGGCGCTTCAAGGCGGCGACACAATCCGATCAAATTTACTCCAATACAACCACGAATGGTCCATCCATGCATAAATTAAATATATCCTGATTCCATGGGAGCTCCAAATTGGCTGAAACTAAACTCCCTTTTGGTTTGGTGGGATCGCGCGCACCATATCTCATCACCATTGCCAAGCGAAAGAAATTGCTCACTGATTGAATCGCCGGCCGATCTGAATGCATATATGCAGTGCTGAACTCTTCTCTTTTTCTCGCCGCTTTTGTTTGTTGCAGCAGCAGCCAGCAGATAAGGAGGAAGTAACTGTATTGTGTGTGTGTTCTGAGGGAATGGGCGTATGCAACTAAGATTAACCAAGATTTAAAAAAAAACGATATGTAGAGAGAGACGTCTCTTTACAAACATTTTTTAAAAAAATATTATTAATGTGTTAGGGATTGAACACCGGATCTTAGGTTAAAACCACATTATCTTTGTCACTAGTGCATCTCAAATTAATCAAGATTTTAGTCAAGAGTGGTTCAAATCGGCATTGATGAGGCTCGGTTTTGCCAATTGAATGGCCGGATTGGCGTCCCCGAACCAACGTTTGCGTCTTGCCCCCTGGTTTTGTGTCGCTACAGTCCACTCTCATGGCATGAGGCGTTATCGGATTCGTCGTCACATTTGAAAATGTGTTTACATTCTCTAGCGTAGATATCGTCTCGCTTTTTTTATGTCATTTAATAAAAAATTTTAAAAAAATTGTTATGATAGATAAGTAGAAGATATATATAACTCCAGTGTGTGCAGATTCAAATTTAGAATTGGTTTTTTTTGGACGGATGGAGTATAAGTTAATATTCAGTCTAAATACGCAGTTAAAACAATAAATTTTGATTGTGAATAGTACATACTATATTTAGTCTTTGTAGTCAAAATTGTTGTTTTTAAATTATGTAAATTGAATTTGAACTTGTAAGTTTTTGACATATCTATTATTGATCGATCTACTTTTTAAAGAAAAAAATTAACAACATTTTTTATTGGCATGCACAAAACTGGTATTAATAGTTTAGGGGTGAAGTGAAGATAAAATTGTCTAGGGGTGGTAAAATAGAAAAACAAAAATAGTAAAAAATTTGCTCGTTTTCTTTTCTTTGATTATTGGGAGGGGCTTAGCTACTAGAATAATTCGCACTATTTTTTTGTCGAATTAAAATTTCGTTGTGTTTGAAGATTTTGTCAAGTAATTATACACGACTACTGGTGCAAATCCAAAATTACGGCGCAGGCGTTCACACTTAATTAAGGCTTACACGTCATAATCCAGCTAATAAAAATTAAAGCTGCACTGGTCACTGATAGGATACTCCTTTTTTAAAAAAGAAATGTTACTGATAGTGATACTTGGAATTGCCACCTAAAATCCCGTGCTACTGTTTGTCCGTTCATTTGTTGTTTCCATTCTGATATAGAATAGCAACAACTGATGCAGACCCGTTTACGGTGTTAATTGGTAGGCCTTCAAAGTTGTCGAACTTCCTGACAATAGTCCTATACGTCAGGATTCTATAGTTTGAAATTTACTCCTAAATAATTTGAAATTATATAGGTTCCTCTTTTTCATTTTTTTAGGGTAGGTTCCTCTTTATTAAAAGGGGTAATGGTGTTCATACCTATATATATTGTCAACTCTTATTTTTCTAAATTGAAGCTTATTTGTTAAAAAAAAAATCAACATGATATAGATCGATGCAATGAAAGGAGCATGTTTATTATGTTTTAGAAGTTTGCTTATATATAACAATTTTCTTTTGTCAAATAATGATTTCTTTAAAATATATGACAATGCATTACCAATCGATATCGCCGTAACATTAACAAGGACATATTATTAGTAGTTTGAGTTGAAGGTAGGGTTGTATTTTAAGAAGTTTTTCTTTTGAACGTAGATGGATTGTTGTTAAAAAAATACCATTATCTAAAAAAAGAAAAAAGATGGATTGTTGTAGGGTCGCATTGGATCCATTACTTAAATTCCTACTCTCATGGATGCTCGTACAATAGCCGCAGCTTGTATCTAATGCACCATGTAGCTACGGAGCTATACTAGCTATGATCAGGTGAAGATTGACACAACAAAGAAAATGAGTGCTTAACTACTGCACTATCTACTTGGCTACCTACATATATATCAGCACATTTAGGAACATTGCAATCTTAGTTTAAATTCGATTAGTCTAGAGGTAGTTCCCACATCCTAAAGAGAGGAGAGGGACTCATGCATGAAAGGCATATTTGTGAAATTCAACATATTCAAGGGTGTGCCATGCATGAATGTGAATAATCACAAAGAGTATATATATTGGTAAGCATGGACATATATATATATATATATATATATATATATATATATATGAATGTGATATAG